GTCAGCTGGGAACATAACAATGCAAGATGAAATTCACTCATTCCCGACTCAGGGTAAGTAGATGAGTTCCCATAATCCAAATTCTAGACCGAGAGACTCAGTGAGGAAGATCAAGTAGTATTGTCTCATTGGGTTTACAYGAGGAAGAGTCTTCAAAGGTAAATCCAACATTCTTTCCTGTTTTATACTTTTCTGTGTTTTAAATTTCCAAAAGAAATTCAAGAACGCGTTATACTGCTTCCACTTCGGGATTCACATCCCTTTAGGAAAAAATTCGAACGTGCTTATCAAAAAGAAGAGATTCCTCAAGCACTGGCTGCTCTATCCATGAATGAACAAGTTGATCCCAATATCTATGCAGATTCAGGTGCCACATCCCATGTTGTCAACGATCCGGGTAAGCTTTCCTATCTAAAGACATATAACGGAAATCATAAGATGTATGTAGGAAATGGGCAAGCCTTGAATATTAGTCACACTAACACTCTGACATATTTTCACAATAAACACAATAGTCTGGCTCTTGAAGATGTTATAGTAGTTCCAAATATGAAGAAAAACTTAACGTCTATTAGCAAGCTAACGCAAGACAATGACTGCACTATCATATTTGATACTAACAATTTTTTCATTAAGGATAAACAGGACAGAATCTTGGCTAGAGGACATAAAGCAGCAGGTTTGTGTGCCTTAGAGGAACGAAAACAACAACTTGTGCAAGCTTATACCACCTTTGTTGCTTCAAATAAAGCTCCCTATTCAATATGACACAAACTAATGGAACACATGGATGATAAATCCTTAAAATATCCATGTGATTCTCATTGTTGATGTGTCGAGTTGGAAAACAGAAGAAGCTATATGTAGTGTGTGTCAAGTGAGCAAGAGTTGTAAGCTTACTTTTCAACAAAATAAAATTATAAGTCATGTTCCCTTGCACAAGATACATGTTGATCTATGGGGTCCGACTCCTTTACCTTCTTGTCAAAATTTTAGATATTATGTAAGCTTTGTAGATGATTTTTCAAGGTTCACGTGGCTTTATCCCTTAAAACAAAAGTCGGATTTCTTTCAATGCTTTATCAAATTTCAAAAGCTAGTAGAGAACTTGTTTGAGAAAAGGATAAAGATTTTCCAGAGTGATGGAGGAGGYGAATTTACCTCATTAATCTTCAAGCATCACTTAGAAAATCATTGCATTCACCACCAATTGAATTTAATCTCTCAATGCTTTATCATGGCATTCACACACCTCAACAAAATGGAGTTGTCGAAAGAAAGCATAGACATATTGTGGAGACTGCTCTTACTCTTCTCTTTCAATCAAAAGTACCTCTAAAATATTGGGTGGATGGTTTTCTTAATGGCTTTCCAAAGTTCTACATATCAGMAGTCCTTTTTTAAAACTTTTTCAAAAAGGAACCAAACTACAATAGCATTAAGATTTTTTATTGTCAATGCTTTCGCTACTTGAGACCTTACAGCAAAAATAAATTCATCAAAAGAACTCATCCTTGTGTATTTTTGAGTTATAGTCCTGTTCATAAAGGTTATAGATGCTTAGATRTTAAATGCAATAGAATTTATATATCTAGGCATGTGGTATTTGATGAAGTTACTTTTCCTTTTGATCATCAATTACTCACAAAACAAGAGAGCAGCAAACCTCTTGTAGTCTATGAATTTGCRGATATTGAAGAATGGACAAGTCAAAATTTTGAAGATGACACATCTCTCAAGCCATGCTCAAAAGAAAATAAGAAAATAGGTTCTACAGAAGGTGACTTTGAAGAACCAAGCCAACCCTCCAAAATTGAGAACCACATGGATGAATTGAGACAACATGAAAAGCAGCCTCCATATCAAGAACTTGACCACAACAACTCAACAAATAATGCTGATAGTTTTGAAGAGCAACTGATAGATGGAGATTTGTCTACTACTTCTAAGAATAAAAATGTCTCTAAAGACCACCCTTCAATTGAGGAGCCTGCCTATGGAACATTAGAAATCAAGAAAATAACTCTCAAGAAATCTCAATAAGTGCAGACCTACATGTTGCTGTTGATATACTCTTGCAAAATAGTGGTCAAGCGGAGCAGATGAACTTACAAAGTAACCAATATCCGGCAATCAAACAAGCTACTCAGGTTTCTTCTTTACCAAATATAGGAGATGATTTATATGTTGAATTACCTCTTCTTGATGTAGGAACTCAACAAATTGGAAGATAAATTTCACAACACATGCCACCCGAGCAATCAAATCATCACATGATCACGCAGAGGATGCTAAATTTCAACCCTAAATTGGATCTCAATCTTCACCGAGAAGTGCAGAAATTTAGAAACAATAAAGAAAACTTATCACTCACTGCAACAAATCAAGCAAGCGAGCCAAAAAGCTACAAATCTGCTTTAAAAATTCCCTATTGGAAAGGGGGCAATGGAGGAAGAAATGAAGGCTTCTTGAACAAAACCACACATGGGATCTAGTTTCAAGATCTCTCAATACAAGTAGTATGGGATCAAGGTGGATTTTTAAGCCTAAAGTGAAAGAAGATGGTTCCATTGAAATGTTTAAAACTCGCTTGATGGCCCAAGGTTACTCACAAGTGGAAGGCATAAACTACAAAGGGACTAAAAGTCCAGTAGTAAAACTAACAGCTATTCGGCTAACATTAGCCTTGACAGTAACATTTGGATGAGCTCTCAAAGAACTAGATGTTAGAATGCATTCCTACATGGTTATCTCAAGGAAAAAGTGTTTATGGTTCAACCCTCATGTTTTGTAAATCCTCACTTGCACACCATGTGTGCAAGCTCAACAAATCCTTATATGGTTTGAAATAAGCTCCTAGGACCTGGTTTGAAAGACTCTCTCAATTTCTTCTATATACTGGTTTTATTTACTCAAGATCTGACTAGTTGTTTATATTCAAAAATGACTCCATACTTACTCTTATACTTGTTTATGTTGATAAMATTATCCTTATAGGGAATAGTACCATTGATAACTCTCCTAAAAAGAGTTAGTTGTGCCTATAAGTTGCATGAAATAGCTAAAATTAGTCTATTTTTTGGTGAATTGAAGTTTATCAAACCATCACAAGGATCATGTTGAGTCAAGAAAAGAAAAATATGCTAAGGAAATCCTCACTAAAACTAAGATGATGAAGGCCTCRTACTATAACACTCCAATGACCACCTCTTCAACCACAACTCCAAGTGATAATGACTTGGTAAATGAAACTGAATATAGAAGCATTGTAGGCTCACTCCAATATCTTACTCTCACTAAACCAGATATCACTTATGCCATGAATAAAGTATGCCAACAATTACAAAAACCAAAAGTGAAAGACATGAAAGCTGTGAAAAGAATCCTTAGATATTTGAGTGGGACGATGGATTACGACATTTCTTTTTATAAACACAGTTTTCTAAATCTTTATGCTTTTTTATTTTTATTTTTATTTTTTATGCAGATTGAGGAGGTTGTCCAAATACTAGGAGGAGCATCACTGGATTCTACATCTTTTTTAGATTGTACTACATTGCATTGGCTTAAAAGAAAATAACCTATAGTAGCTAGGTCCAACTCTAAAGCAAAATATCRTCCTATGGCTATAACGGCCGTTGAGCTAACATGGATGACTTTCATTCTTAAAGATGTCGGTGTCCCAATTCTCAATCCCCCTCAATTGTTTGTGACAACATAAGTGCCCTACATATGACCATCAATCTAGTCTTTCATGCTAGGACAAAGCATACTGAATTGGATTACCACTTTGTGAGAGAGAAAGTAGCAATGAGATCTCTCATTAACTCGCTATGTCCCCTGTCATATACAATTAGTTTGACAACTTTTCGAAACTTCTTACAAATACTACTTTCAAAGAGTTAATCAGAAAACTTGCCATTCGTTCCACTCATTCTAGTTTGAGGAAGAATGTTAGAATTAAAGAAGATGAAGCTCATGTAAGCAAAATATTGATTGATTCCCACAAAGATACATTACCTATTGCATTCTCTCAATGTCTAATTCCATAGAGGAAATAAATATCATTTATGAGTGATTGACAAAACAATGGAAGGTGCCAACTAATCACCAACGAATATATCTTAGATGGAAATTATGCAACCACATTTGACTTATTCTCTTTACCATCTCACT